GCCTACAGGGCGCAATTCTTCATGGATTTTCTTCAAACTTGGTATACTTATTCCTTATACCCCAAGGAAGATCCCTATTGTTTTTGGTGCATGCCCGACCCCCCGGGGCAGAGCCACGCCCATTTCTAGTATTTGTTTGTTTGTCGTCTACAGGCCACATTTCTTAACTAATAATCTTGAAACTTTGCATACACATTCTTTGTACCCTAAGGAACATCCCTATCGTTTGGGGTGCATGCCCAACCCCCAGGGGCAGAGCCACGCCCATTTTCTTTTCGTGTGTCTTTGTGTCGCCTACAGGGCGCAATTCTTACTGGATTTTCTTCAAACTTGGTATACTTATTCCTTATACCCCAAGGAAGATCCCTATTGTTTTTGGTGCATGCCCGACCCCCAGGGGCAGAGCCACGCCCATTTCTAGTATTTGTTTGTTTGTCGTCTACAGGCCACATTTCTTAACTTATAATCTTGCATACACATTCTTTGTACCCTAAGGAACATCCCTATCGTTTGGGGTACATGCCCAACCCCCAGGGGCAGAGCCACGCCCATTTCCCATTTTCTTTTCGTGTGTCTTTGTGTCGCCTACAGGGCGCAATTCTTACTGGATTTTCTTCAAACTTGGTATACTTATTCCTTATACCCCAAGGAAGATCCCTATTGTTTTTGGTGCATGCCCGACCCCCAGGGGCAGAGCCACGCCCATTCCTTATATTTATTTATTTGTTTGTCATCTACAGACCGCATTTCTTAACGTATCAACTTTACATATTTATTCCTTATACCCTAAGGATGATCCCTATTGTTTTTAGTGCATGCTCGCCTCCCCGGGGCAGAGCCACGCCCATTTTTGTATTTGTTTGTTTGTCGTCTACAGGCCGCATTTCTTAACGTATCATCTTGAAACTTTGCATACTTATTCTTTGTACCCTCAGGAACATCCCTATCGTTTTGGGTGCATGCCCACCCCCCAGGGGCAAAGCCATGCCCATTTTCTTTTTCTATGTGTGTGTGTCGCCTACAGACCACAATTCTTAATCAATTGTCTTGAAATTTTTTCATATGAATTGCTTATACCCTAACGATGACCCCTATTGTTTTTTTACCCCCAGGGGCAGAGCCACGCCCATTTTCTTTTCTTTTTATGTCTGTGTGTCACCTACAGGCCACAATTCTTAATCAATCGTCTTGAAAATTTTTCATATGAATTGCTTATACCCTAAGTATGATCCCTATTGTTTTTGGTGCATGCCCGACCACCAGGGGTAGAGCCACGCCCATCCCTTATATTTATTTATTTGTTTGTCATCTACAGATCGCATTTCTTATCGTATCACCTTGAAACTTAGCATACATATTCCTTCTATCCTAAGGAACATCCCTATTAGTTGTGGTGAATACCCAACCCCCAGGGGCAGAGCTACGCCCATTTTCTTTTTTTATGTCTGTATGTCACTTGCAGACCGCATTTCTTAATCGATCATCTTGAAATTTTTTTTAGACTTATTCCTTATAGCCTAAGGCTACGTTTTTACACTTATTCCTTAATCCTAAGGCTGGCCTCTATTATTATTTTTGGTGCATGCTCAACCCCTTGGGACAGAGTCACGCCTAATGTTTGTGTGTCTTGTGTTTTGCCTACAGGCCGCAATTCTTAACCGATCCTTTTGAAATGGGGATACCTATTCTAAACGTCATGCTTTTAGAATAAAGACATCGATTGTTTTAAAATAAAAATTGTGTTCTGTTAATGTGAACGAAACGTTAAACTGATAGCAGTCCTACAACCCAGTTTTATTTCACAGACCCTCAATGCAAACTGGACCATATCAAACAAAACAGGAATGTGGACGTATATTGCTGCGTTAGCGATGCTCTTGTTTTTTAAAGTCAGTATAGCATATTAGTAAATACTGTCTTCGTGGGTTGGGATAATTTTCACTTTAATTTGAATGACAAGATATAAAGATAAGGTATATCTATGCCTATTTTTGTATAACTTTACATAAATTCAAACAGGTTAGTCAATTTCTAAAATAATATATATTTTTATACTCCCACATTTTTATGTGGACGTAATTTGTCGTCGCTCCCTGTCCATCTGTCCACAATTTGTTTGTGGACACTCAACAGGTCACAGGTCCGATTTTGATGAAAATTAGAATATATGTTTATACCTCAAAGATCTCAGTTCCTTTGGATATTTGCACATATCAGACCATAACTAGAGGACACATTTTAATCAGATTTTAAAAAACGTTTAAATATATCACCATTCCACCATGATGGGAGTTGAGTTCGAATTTCTGCAAAATTGAAATGAAGCTGCCGGACAAAATGGCCACTCCTGGTATGCAAATTGTGTACAAGTATGTAATACGAAGGTTATGGACCCTCAGGAGGTCACAATCTTTGTCCAATTTTGATGAAACTTAAAATGTATCTTTATATCCCAAGGATCTCAGTCTCTTTCGATATTTGTGCATTTCAGACCATAACTTCTTGGATTATGGCCCCTGATTGTACGAAAAATCACATTTTTTTTTTTTTAGCTTTTTCTCTTTCCATCTCTTGTAAAATAATAATAATAATTACGAAATTATTACAACAGTTCATCCCAATTGGGGATGCTCTAGGTGTATAGTGCCTAAACAGCCAGGTTTTCACACTTGATTTGAAGATAGACAATGTTTCACATTTTCGAATGGAAGGTGGTAGCGAATTCCATAGAATTGATGCATTATACTGAAAAGTCCTTGAACCAAATTTCTTTATCTTATAAACTGGTACATCTAACAAAAATCTATTCTCAGTGACGGCAGTGTGTCAAGAGATTCTGAAGATATCTTGGTGCTGTTTTATTTAATGTTTTGTATGTCAGAGTTAAAATTTTAAAGTTAATTCTCTTGCGCACTTGGAGCCAGTGAAGATTATTTAAGTTGGGAGTGATGTGTGATTTTGATCTAGCTTTAGTCGCAATTCGTGCAGCACGATTTTGGGTCCTTTGCAACTTGGAAATTTGTTCATCAGTTACTCCAGAAAGTACGGCATTGCAGTAGTCAATTCTGTACAGCCTGGCAACCACTGGTATAACTAATATATTTAATGCTGCACCAGTTATTGCTAATCCCTTATGGTATGATTGTCGAAGACAGCCATACTATACGAAAATTTAACTCTTATGCTATATTCTTTTATTTTAATATCATAATGAAATGACTTGTGTTAATTAAATCAGAGCAAATGCTAATATTTTCACCTCCTTTCAAGTATTTGAGGTAGTGTCTAGTGAGTTTAGATTTTCAGAATATGTTGTGATAGTATCTTTGTGTTCAAAATTTGTACATTAATTTGTACTATGGTAAATAGTATGGTAATAGTTGTTCTTTAACCAAATAAATTTTATTCTCACAATACACAGATAGGCAACCTATAAATATTGTTTTGATTCTCAATGTGTTTAAATGACTCCCCCACCCCCCCCAAAAAAAATCACCCAAAAAGGGGAAATTTTGTCACTTTCACCGACATCCATAATTAGGATAATGTGGGAATAAACAGGTATATCAGGAGGCATTCTTAAACAAAAACAAAATCATGATTGTCCAAATCTTCATCATCACATTACATTTCTGGTTCCTATTTTGAGATCATAAAACAAAGATATTTTCAGGAAGATTCAAGTTATATCCCCAAGTGATGTAGGGAAAGCCCTCAAAACAGATCACTTTTTGTAACATGTGTCTGATTATTATTCTAACGGTGAATTTGGGTCAAAGAGTTAAGATGTGAATGATTATTTTATATTAATATCTGTATTTACCTGAAGGATCCCCACACTAAGGAAAACAGATGATGTGTTGATAAGTGATGTTTTAATCAGTTGACTCTCATCAGATACTTTTTCACAAAATGTAAATTCTCACATTTTAAAAATAGTTTTATTCTTGTTGCTCTATAGTATTTTATGGTTGATTTCATTGGACAGATTTCTTTTCAAAGTTTTATCATTAGTGTGAATAATACATGCAGTTTTCAAAGTAATTGATAAAATATTTTAAAGAAATTTGCAACCACAATCCAAAAGAATACATGAAATAAACTTTGGGAACAATTTATGGGGTTTTGTTTTAAGTTTTAGTGTAACAGGACTTGAGACTAGAAGGTTATGTAAGAGTTATATTTTTCATAAGAGTACAATTCCAGTCATGTCTTTTATAATAGTGAATACCAAAACTTTTGAGGTCAAGGTTCTATGGATATTTTAAAACAGAAATTCAGTAGGTCAAGGTTCTATGAATATTATGAAACTGCTTTTGATGGTAGAGATACATGACAAAAGAGTGGCTTGTAATAGTAAATGCAGGGGGGCCGCACAGATATTCCCCCAATAGTTATATAAACTTTGCTCTTAACCACCCTAAGCCTATATACCCACATTATATATCACTGTATAGAACAGTTATATAAACTTTTGACTTAACCCACCCTAAATTAGGAGGTCAGAAATTTGTATTTAATTCACTGTCATGGTGCGTATGTTACAGAATTTTCGGTGTCGGTACAAGATTACACATACTTCTTAAGAAAAGATTGTAGGATTTTCCTTAGTGTGTTTACACAGTTACTTTTGGATTGAGTGTACATTTTTTTAATAGAAAGGTGGGTTTTATCTTTATTGAAGTAAATAGATTGTCTAATTCATGGAGATTTGTTTGCATGAAATTGATTTTCTTGCTATATTTATTGTGATTGGAGGTTTTGTATAAAATTAAATCTGATTACTGACTTTTTGTTCATATATATATGTTTGATTTTCTTTGATACTTTTTTTAATGATATATGTACATGATTGTTCTAATGGTTTGAATTGTTTACAAGTTATTAATTTAAAGCAGTTTCTTGACTTCTTATTCGATTTTTGATAAAGTTTTGTACATGTAAATAACTATTTTGATGAATTAGATTTGTAACCACATATATGTATCTTTTTTCTTCAGAAATACTATAAGAATTAAATACTACATTCAAGATGAAGGCATTAACCTGTCCATTCCTGAACAAGATACCCTTAAGTCAAATACGTCAATATGCTCCAGCAGTTCTGGGATATGCCAAGAAATGCCCTGTTATTGCACATGTAATGAAGTATTCTACTGTTTTGGAAACAGAAATGGGTAAAGAAAGCTGTCTTATATAGATATTTAATTATAGTGAAATTGATATATTCTCAACGGGAAAATATAAGCTAGTTTCTATAGATATGTAATGATAGTTAAAGAGAAATTAATTTATAGGCACCTGAAAAATATAAGCTGGTTTTATTTTAAGATGTAAAATCATAAAAGTATGCATTCAGAGTACTTACCATAAGAGGAAACTATAATCCATCATGTACAATTTCTGATTGTTTTCTGATAATATTTTTTTCAGATGAAGAGATTAAAAAGTGTCCTTTCTCTACTGAGAAATTGAATAGCACAGAAAGCAACATAAATCAAATACCTGATATGATTAGTGTCAAGAAAACTGGTGTGTAATGGTTACTATTTTACTAGAATTCATACACATGAAATTCTGTATTTGCCATTTGGACTTCGTAATGTTCCAGCTGGGTTTCCAGCTTACTTTAAGTATATAATATCTCATTCAAGAAAATCAATTCTTTAAAGCAATAGATAATGTAATTTAGTATACATATCATTCTATTGTTACTGATTTTAGATTTTGAGATGAAGGCAGCTGTAGCTGAAGATATCATTATGTCAGAGAAAATAACTTTGGAAGTTGATAACTCCCCATCTAATGTTCTGTCTGGCATTAACATTTCTGATGCACTTAAAGGCCTGACGAAAGTTGAATTAGAAACATCTGGGACATCAGTAGGTAAGAGGTTGATTAATTTTTATTTTATGATCATTAGTGATCAATTGTGAAATTATTATGTATTTGGTTATTGGATATGAAATATGTAAGATTAAGTTTCAGCTCCTGAATTTCAATCGGTTGTAAGACTAAGTGATAATATGTTAGCCTGTACATTATTTAATTGTCATTTTCTGTGGACTATAGTTGAGTATAGTATACATATGCATCAAATGCAAACATACTTTATTTTATTTCAGAAAAGAAGCCCTTTTTCAATTATGAGGCTTTTTTTGCTAAACAATTGGAAAGTAAAAAGAATGACCATACTTACCGTGTATTTAAGAAAGTAATGAGAGATGCAACTCAGTTTCCATATGCTAAGGAATATAGTGGTGATAAGAAAGATATATCAGTCTGGTGTAGTAATGATTATCTTGGAATGAGCTGGCATCCTAAAGTTAAATATGCTGTCAAGTAAGTTAAAAATAAATAATGTTAGCTAAATAATTATTAGATGACTCAATATCTGATTACTTAACAGGCATTACGTTTTGTGGTTGATATGGTTTCGTAAAAAATGATAACCGATGGTAGCAATGACAATCAAGGCTAGACTATAATTGTATTTCCGAAACCTAGGCTCAGAGGAAAGTAATTTGACTGAAATTTTCAACATATTCCATATTCATTATGTATTTTTTAACTATAATAGCGAGAACTGTCAGCTCGTTATCTAATCTTACCTAATTCCCCTTTAAGCACTGAGATAAAATCATATTGTGATTTTTTGGGGGTTGGATGACTGAATGGTTAACGTGCGCCCGCTGTATCATAAAGTCTGTCATTGAGTCGACTGGCGTGGTTTCGAATCCCCGGTTGTACGTGACAAGGAGTAGGGTCGCCTGTCCAACCTCGTGGGTTTTCTCCGTGTCCTCCGGTTTCCTCCCACTGCGAATTATGTAAATAAAATTAAAAACCATATGTTAGTCCCGAAACGACCTAGTTTGTGTCGAGTGGACGTTAAACCCCATTTCTCTCTCTCTCTCATATTGTGATTTGAAAATATGTTTAAGTTTTAAGATAAATCTAGTTGCACATAATTAAGGATATTTGGAACACTACAGACACAAATCAAATTTAAACCGTTACATCAATGGCATAAACGATTAGAAATAATCTACAATGTTTATCTTGTTTACTTTAATTTGATATTATGGCTTGTTGCCTTTCAATTCATCCCTTCACCCCTATGTGTTACAATTTTTTACAGGGATTCCTTAGAAAAACATGGAGCAGGAGCCGGGGGTACAAGAAATATATCTGGTAATTCACCACTTCATGAAGAATTGGAAGAAGAATTGGCCAAAATTCATCAAAAAGAGGCTGGTTTGATATTTACTTCCTGTTATGTTGCTAATGACACAACACTTTTTACACTGGGAAAAACACTGCCAGGTTTGTTCAATATTATTCCTTTAAAAAATAACAGTTGGGAATCTAGTTGGTGGAAAATAGAAACAAAAATGAAATGAAATGAAATGGGGTTTAACGTCCTACTGTTCTGCTCCGAACTGGGCTAATGAAGACGGGCATACGCCATACAGTGTGCTATGAGGGGAAATTTTGCCTACTCTTATATCGAATTCCAACTGTCAAGGGATCTTTTATCTGCACACCAATGTGTACACGGGACCTTGATTTTTGTCCCATCCAAACGATAGAAAGAAGATAAAATGATAAATGAAGCTTTGAAAATTTACCTACTACATTAAATATCTAACACTATTACAAGGCTATCCTTAGTTAATCTCAAAATCAAATGTTATTTACTGATACATATTGTTATTAATGTACAAGATTGTCTTGAAAATGAAATTTTATCAAAGTTCATTAGTTATGACTTGTATTTTCAATTAATCTCCTCACTTACTGTAAATGAAAGTTTGTCTATCTTTAATCTTGTAGGTGTCCATTTTTTCTCCGATGCTGGAAACCATGCCTCCATGATCCAGGGACTGCGGAACAGTGGTGCACCAAAACATATTTTCCATCATAATGACCCTGACCATTTGGAACATCTTCTCAAACAAGTGGATATGAATGTTCCTAAAATAGTAGCCTTCGAAACTGTTCATTCTATGGATGGTGAGTAAGTTATATATACATATGAATATGTTAGAAATGTCACATTTCAATCACACATAGTATGTGTGAGGGTTGCCTTCCTGACTTTGAGCAAGATTATTCTCTCATCAGTGTCTTGACCACGTTTGATTTTCATCCAATTTATTTAGACATTTATTCATATGACAAGCCTACAATCAACATTCTAGATCATCAGATAAATTTGCAATTAATATGTGTCATCTATTTATGTTGGCACTGAGGTGGGGGACAATGTTGTCTTTACTAAGTTATATTTCAATATTTTCAGGTTCTATATGTCCCTTGACAGAACTATGTGATGTAGCTCATAAATATGGTGCTTTAACATTTGTTGATGAAGTACATGCTGTTGGTCTGTATGGCGATAGTGGTGCTGGAATTGGTGAAAGGGATAACTGTCTTGAAAAAATGGATCTGATCACTGGAACTCTTGGTACAAACATTAAACTTTATTCTAAGACATGAATTTCCAACAATAGAAGAATTTACTTTATACAGTAAACTATGCATAAGTCTGATCTAAATGGACTGACCAATTTTATCTGAGTTAGCCGAAGACCTAGTTCAGCTCTGAAATTAGGTCTCATTATCGCCCTGTACTTTCAGGAACCATCCTATTGAATCCTTGTTTAAGCTTCAGTCAATTATTGCTTTGCCTAGCCCAATTACAATCGAATTTTTTCAAAAATTCCAATTTCATTTCGTCTTATATGGCTGAGTTGTGCAAATTTGTGCGATGTCCTGTAATTGGATTTCAATGGCAGTAGCCAGGCCATTTGGCGGAGGGGGGCCATATTTTTAACAGCATGTTGTAAACATACTGCCGATCCGACTTAGGCGAAGGAAAAAAGCCAGAATTAGATCAAATCGACAAACAGTTGAGTGAATATCCGACTTACACACAGAAATTTAATTCGAAAACGTGCAAGATCAAAGAGTCCAAACAATTTTATCCGAGTTGAGCAAAGATCCGACTTTTGCGAATCCGACTTATGTGAGGTTTACTGTAATTAGCTGATAATTAGCCAAGATTTTGGTTTACAGTTTTGTTTGCCTGGTTTTAAGTTTTAGGTTTACTTTTTTAAAAATGATAAACCTTTGATATAAATTTTGTTTACAGGTAAAGCATTTGGTAATATGGGAGGATATCTGGTTGGTTCTAGTAATACTATTGATATGATTAGAAGTTATGGAGCGGGTTTTATTTTTACTACAAGTCTACCACCAACAGTACTCAGTGGTTGTCTTGCTTCCATTAAGGTTGGTATTTTACCTTGTGGTGCTAGAACCCCCTTGTCTTATCTTCATTAGCCCAGAAGTTGCAGAAAAGTAAGAAAATAAAGCCAATTTCATTTCATTACTTCTCATCTTTTGGACAGTTCATTTGTAACCACAATCAACCATGAATGACTGCAAATTGACAAAGTTCACTGGAAACTACTATTGCTTTCTACATTTTGGTAAAATAAAAAGCATTCTTTCAAATATTAGTGTAGCCTAGATCAAAACCAGCAAAACTGAATATACAATACAGCTCAGAATAGATCAATTAATTGAAACTGCATGGCTCAAAGTGACACAAGGTATATACAGGCCCGCAAGTACTCCGTTCTCTAGGTTATTGCACTCAAGTAACTATTCGGTTAGATACAATGACGTAACTGGAAGAGACCTCATTTTAATATAGAAGCAAGACTTCTAGAATGTGGACTTGAAAAAAAACCCTGCTATACTCTTCACTGATCCTCCAGTTGCAAGAATCAATCTTTATTTCAGGCAAATCCCACTTCTGTTGTATCTGGAGGGCCTACAAACTTCATACCTATTTTACATTTTGCGAAAAAAGCATTGGCTATACCTCTAGAATGAAAGATCTTATGCGTACCAAAGTTGAATTCATCCAAGAATTTTTGATCCTTGACACATAGTTTAAGTTTCATCTTAGGAATCGAACAAAAGTATACGCCTCGGGAAGGTCCACAAACTTTATTCCTATTGGACATTTTGCGTTAAAGGCAGGTGGCTGATGCAGGTGGCTGATGCGCACCAAAATTGAACTCATCCAAGAACTAGTGACACTAGTTTTAAGTTTCATCCAAATCGGATGAAAATTGTTGCCTCTAGATGGTCCACAACCTTGGTATTACATGCTTTTACACACTTTGCGTAAAGGGGGTCGGCCATTTGATATACCATGGTAGGTTTAGATAACGGTAATTAACTTAAAACAACTATCATATTTCTGTGATTAAATATCCAATAAGACTAAAATAAACCATATTGTTGTAATAAATATTTCGTACTATCATGGGTCATAATCCAGAAATATCGATAGGAACGGAGATCTTTGGGTTATAAACATACATTGTAAGTTCATCAAAATCGGATAAAAATTGTGACCTCTAGTGATTCACAACCATTGTATTATTAAGCAAACCATTGTTCAGTTCACCACGGGAAACCACCATCGACTGCGTTTTTGTGGTAAGGGATTTAGAGAAAGAATTAAAACTTCCCTGCTGAGTAATTTCATTAGCTAGAAATCTCTCAGAAAGCATCTCCGACGATCTAGACCCTTAGGAGCTTATGGAGCCTAGGTGGCCTCTTGTCTAAAGTCCTAGGATGGTAGCCCCCCGTAATCATGAATTGCTTCCGCCACCCCTGATATAGTGTGTATAGAATGCAAGGGTGAGAGGTCTCCCAAGAAAATTTGATCTATACTATATGTATACATCTTGATGTGGTGGTCTTGTATTGTTGTGCTCCTGTCTGTCTATCCACACTTCTATGTACTTAGTCTGCAGAATATTATTAGCAGTAAATATGGTCCTTATCATTTTACATCATTTTTGAACAGAATTATTGCAACTGACTGTTATCATTGTTAAGAAATGTACATTACAATACTCAATTAAATTTGTGAAAGATTTTTATTAAATTTATAGGAATAGTTAATATCGGGCTAATTTGATTTTGAGTGTTTTCACAAAGGTACTCCCAGAGTTATAGCCTCTGAATAAAGGTTACTGCCATTTTCTACTCATTTGTACTGATTATTACGTCCAGAACATCCTCCTAATCTGAGGTCCTGTGTACACATTGGCATGCATGTAAAAGATCCCTTGACATATGGAATTCTATATAAGAGTAGGCTGTAGTGTCGCTGTCTGGGCAAAATTTCCCTCATAGCATAGCACACTGTATGGCGTATGCCCGTCTCCATTAGCCCAGTTCGGAGTAGAACAGTAGGACGTTAAACCCCATTTCATTTCATTTCATTTCCTAGAAAAAGCAAATGGGAAAACAATCATTAGATGAAGCACCTTATTACACAAAAGCCAAAAGAAACAATGGTAAGCGTATTTTACCTTACCTGGCAAGACTATTTTGAGATTCTACAATGTTTCAATACTAATTTTCTTACTATTGTTCTACACTTTTGGTGGCATAGACCTACTCTGTTTTTCATATCTATAATTTTAATTATAATGTTTATAGGTGTTAGCCAGTGAAGAAGGAAGAGAACTTCGGGCAAAACATCAAGAGAATGTATCCTATCTACGTGAAAGATTAGTGGCTTGTGGTATTCCTGCGATGCATTCACCTAGTCATATTATTCCTATACATGTGAGTACTTTTCTTTGATTGAGTTCACATTCAAGTTCTTTATTAAAGCAAGAATTTCATATTTTCTAAGAAAGTCAGAAAAAAATTATTTCTATGTCTTTTGCTCAATAGGTTACCATCTCACTATTATACGATCATGGGCATTATTTCCCACCCTTAAAATTCATTGACACAGGAAATAATAACACAATTACCTCCCTTGTTTTCCTATTCCCTACATGAAATAGCTATGTTGAAACGTTTGAATTTGAAGTAGAAAATGATATTTTTGCCAATTGCTCAGCTGGCAATAGGATTATTCTTTAACAAAGTAGGACTGTGTATGGATACCATCTATTTTAAGGCTTTATTTTAATAAATTTTAAAAATATAACTTAAAAATATGAAATTGTAGCTTTAAATTTGTTATATTTCTGTATCAGAATCTTAGAAGCCATTCCATACTTGCATAATCATGATTTTGAAACATGATATAATTGTTATTTTTCAGGTTGGAGATGCTGAGTTATCAACTAGATTATCTAATGAGTTAATCAGGGAGTTTGGAATTTATGTACAGGCCATTAACTACCCTACTGTTGCCCGTGGTGAAGAACGCTTACGTCTAGCTCCAACACCTCATCACTCTAAAGAAATGATGGATTACTTTGTTGACAGTATTGTCAAGGTTTGGAAATCCTACGATATGGAGCTTTTCCAACCAATCTGCCCCAAAAAATGTGAAAATTGCAGAAAAAATCTTCAGTTTGAGGAGCTATTTGCCACTGATCCAATCTGTGTTCGCTCTAACTGTACCTATTCATCTTTACAAGCTGTATTAGCTTGAAGATAACATGTTACATTTTACTCTATAAAATCATAAATTTTACAATATTATTGTTTATTCTTTAGCTACTTGTATCTTATAGCATTCTTTGATATCTTTAATTATTTAGAAATTATATGTAGGCTATTTATGTTTGCTTTATACTGCCAAGTTTCTATAACCTATGATTGATTCAGACTTTGTACTAAAACTTGAATAACTCATTTATTAATACCAGGCTATATAATAGATCTTAACCATTTAAAGCTATATAACCATATATTATGAATTTGCATTAACCAAAATTCACAAAATTTTATTAATTTAAATAAAACCTATAAATTGTAAGCCTTTGATCATAAATTTAAATAAAATATGAACGCTGTCATGATATGATGTAAAACTGATGTTACATTTAAAATAAAAATAATACGAATATATAAATCTTCATTATGTAATTTATTGGTCTAATGCATTTCAAAACATGCACACCTGACAAATGGCTGTCAAAATAATATATATATACATCAAAAGTACATGTATATACATCCAAATGACCTTCACCTATTTTTCATTTGAAAGGATCAGCATTTGTTAAACATAATTTCATTAGAGACATCATGACAAAAAGGAAAAAAATATGGATGATACTGATAGTGTTAGATAGATAGTAATTTAGGATCGGTGTTAAAGTATATATATCAATATATTTAAAACTTGGCACTGCAGGCACATGCAGACTTTGAATCAGTATGTTTTTTTACTTAGGAAAGAAAATTTTGATAGAGTATGGTCTTTAGTAAGAGTTATTTTGCTTGAGTATGATCTTTTGTAAGAGCAGTTTTGATTGAGAAAGAACAATTTTAATTTAGAAAAAGTAGTAATAATTTTGAATGAGTATACATGTATTTAACCTTGTACATGTTCTGTTGTTACTGAGAGCTTTGGTGGAAAGAGGAATTTTTGTGTTTGAAAGATTATTATTTGGTTTTATTTGGTTTATTAGTCTTTGTTTGATTCACTTTTTACCAAAGCAACTACAAGTTCAGAATTATGAGAAATATATATCATACATGAGATCAAACAAACCAAATAATCAGTGATATAAAATAATTGTAATTTATTTTTCTAAATCTTGTTAGAAATATTAGATATGTATTTTTGTTATTAATAAAAGCTTTTAGATTTATTGTTGTTAATTATAATCAAGCTCTTCTATCATAGTCTTTATTATTATGTTATGAAATATGAACTATCATGTTATTTTAATAAACAAACTTATATTACTGTAATTCTGGTCTTGTTTTTAAATTGTAATAAAAGATTGTCATCAGACATGGTAGTTTGAATGAGAATGAACGTTTTAAAAAGGATGGTGAGGAGTTGCACATTTCATGATATCATGCCTATTTTTGACTATTAAAATGGGTTTGTCTGTCTGTCTGTCCGTCACACTTTTTGGGACACAATAACTCTCCTTCTAATTGAGCTAGAATGTAGGTGTTTATTAGGTCAATGCCTTGATGGAGTTCGAAAATGAGCATTTTCTGCTTAGGGTAAGCAGAGATAAGCAATTTGATTGGTTGATCCTTTGGGACACGATAAGTTTAGTTCTAATTAAGTGATTGTGATGAAACTTGGTGTATAGTTTCATTACATCAATACCTTGACGAAGTTCGATAATGAGCATTTTCTGCTCAGGGTAAGCAATTTGATTGGCCAAGAGTTTGGAACACAATAACTCACCTTCTAATTGAGCTAGAAGTTCAAACTTGTTGTAGGTGTTTATTAGATCAATGCCTTGATCAGAGTTTGAAGATGAGCATTTTCTGCTTAGGGTAAGCAGAGATAAGCAAATTGATTAGTTGATGCTTTGGGTCACGATAACTTTAGTTTTAATTAAGTGAGAGTGAGACACTTGGTGTATAGTTTTATCACATCAATAACTTGACTAAGTTCGATAGTGAGCATTTTCTGCTGAGGGTAAGCAGAGCGATAAGCAATTTGATTGGTTGAGACTTTGGAACACAATAACTCTCCTTCTAATTGAGGTAGAATGTTCAAACTTGGTGTAGGCGTTCATTAGGTGAATGCCTTGATGGAGTTCGATGATAACCATTGTCTGCTTACGGTAAGCAGAGATAAGCAATCTGATTGGTTGATGCTTTGGGGCACGATAACTTTAGTTTTAATTAAACATGCATTATGCAAGAGCTAAATCTGCCTACTGCAGGTCTTTCTTTAGGCCTGAAATGTTTTCTAAAGTATTAATTAGACATTAATTAACTGATCCAGGCCTTAATCAACTCTCGATGGCATCAGATTTCTCCGATATTAAATAGATTAGAATGGTTCAGCAATACTTTGATTTAATCAAATATGGAGGACCGAGACTTAGCTTCGATCAACCAGTACGGTGGTTGAAATTATTGCACACGTCTGTCAAACCTTCAAAGGTTAATATCTTCGCTTGCAATAGAGTAATTTGAATGAAATTTTCAAATTATTCATCTTACATCATCTACTTTCGAACTATTATAGCAAGAATGGTTAGTTCTTTATCTAAATCTTACATAATGTATCTTTAAGTGAGAGTGATGAAACTCTGAGTATATATTCATTATATCATTACCTTGACTAAGTTTGATGATGAGACTTTTCTGCTTAGGCTAAGGAGCGATAAGCAATATGATTGGTCAAGACTTTGGAACATAACAACTCTGCTTTTAATTGAGGTAGAATGTTTAAACTTGATGTATGTCTTGACTGAGTACAATGATAAACATTTCGAGCTAAAGCTAAGCAGAGCTAAGCAATTTCATTGGTCGATGCTTTGGGACAATATAACTTTGATTCTATATATTTGATAGAGAGTGATGAAACTTAGCTTATAGTTGATAATTAGTTTGATTGCTTGATGCTTTTGAAAAAAATAAATGTGCTATTACATGTAATATGTGTCATCTATTTATTTTGGGATTGCGGCGGGGACATCAGCCTCACTGCTGGCTTCAGGAAAGAATAGCAAAGAACCCCTGAAATAAGTCTCTTCCATGTTTTTTTATATTGAAAAATTACAAGTTTATATTTGAATTTCTAAGTGGGATATCTCATTCAATTATGGGGTATTAATGAACTGGTTCAAGCATTTAAATTGAACGCAGAGTTCAATAAGCACAAGACCCCACTATTTGTCTTGACATTCAGTTTTATTTTTGGTTTTTTTTTGCTTGCTAATTTATTTTTATTTCAGAAAACTACTAGCTCGCACATTTTTATTAGCTGAAAATCCTGAACAAAACATCAAATTGCTGTGGTCTTACATTTGAGCTACTTGTCATTGGAAACTGAAAATTAAATAAAGAGAAAGCGAAAGAAATGGGGTTTAACATCCACTCAGCACAAACATATGGATAAATTTTATTTGAATAATTCGCTTTCACAGTAAGGTTTCTTTACCTGTGTGAGGTACCCGGTAATTAAAGGGACTATCCCGATTTCAAGAGAGTCTCAAAAATAAAAGTCGGAGTACGTATAAGATTTAAGCGCTAAAATATAGAGGAATGGTGTATTTACCTTCTCTCAAAATTTTAGCTCAAAATATTGAGTCGTTTGGATGTGAACGTCAAAACTGCTTATCCGGACACGTAACCCTTTTAAGATTTCGGGTCAGTTTTTTCGTTGGGTGACCTGATAATTGATTACCGTTCCTTGAGAGGTCTATATAGTGAATGACCAATGTGCTCTACTTGATAAGGAAAGGTAAATTTCACCTAAACATTATTTTTATAAAATAAAAGTCTGGTTTTATCCAGACACCCATAATACAACTTGGGACACCGGTCTCCATTTCCAGATGAAGACTGACGGGTTTTAGTTGTTTGAAAACTTATCACAAATATTGAGTTAGTTGCTCGGCCCTTAGCTAGAGGATTTTAAGGGATTTTAACATAAAATTAAGCAGTTTTATTCCCCCAAAAATATCGGGATTAGCCCTTTAAATAAATCAAAACAATTATAAGAGAAATCTATAATGTTGGCCACAAAGATCTAAAGAAAGAAATCTAAAAATAACTTCATAAATAACAACTCTAGGTTTTCTTTCCCTCATATCACGCTCCAGTAATGTTAAACCCCATTTCATTTCATTTCCCTTTGGGGCAAAGCTTATAGTATCTTTATTTGAACAAATCTTGACAAGCAACATCAATCAAGGAACTCAAAATTGTTTAAATTTGGCCTATCAAGGTCAATGTCCCATCCCTTTATTTCTGCAATGTGAGGTGATAGGCCCATAATTACAAAAATGAATAAATTATTAAACAATCACAATCCAGTAAATTGTTTAAAGCGGATTCCATTCAGATCGGTGATTGCTCTATATCTCCCAAGACGCAGGCTAAAAATCTGGGCTATGTTACCGATGAATTTATGTCCCCAGTTCCCCAAATCAATTGTATCATACGGAAAATGCATCATCAAATGAGAGCTATTTCGGGAATACGCTCTAATCTTAACACTGATGCTTGCCAGAGTGTTGTTAGAGCATTAGTAACATCGCACATGGACTATGCAAATTCTCTTCTATTAGGAGCACCAGAAACAGCTTTATACAGACTACAAATAGCGCAAAACAAAGCTGTACGTCTCATAACTAAAACACGAAAATTTGATCATATATCAGCTAAGTTACAGAAACCCCATTGGCTTCCAGTTCGAGCAAGGGTTCAATTTAAAGCTCTTGTGAATGTGTTTAAATCAATTTATTCTGACACCGCACCCAGTTATTTAAAAGAACTCTTTGATTTCTATACTCCTCGGCGATCCAACCTTCGTTCTTCAAGTGATCGTAGCATACTGAGGATCCCCAAATATAATAAGCGTTCTGGTGAATATACTTTCTCCGTCAGAGCAGCTACAATGTGGAATGATCTTCCAAAAACTCTTCGAGAGTCCTCTTCCATCCAGAGCTTTAAGACTAACTTAAAAACATACTTATTTCAAAAATATTTTTGAACTGTTTTGTGGTGAATGCGATTAGAAACACCCATGTGTAATAAAGCGCTATATAAATGGAACAATATTAATAATAATAATAATAAGCAATAGCATACACAAAGGTATGGCAGTTTGGGCAAATTGTTTTCTTCGAACGCCATCTTCTAGGTTTAAACAATACACTGATATATCGGAAATTTATCGGCGATATTGTGACAACATATTTAAATGCTAAGTTCTTGATAAACGCTATCATTTTCTTTTAATACCGATTCTCGCTCTGCCATTTTGCTAATGTTACGATTTTTCGATTATATCTGAAGTTAATCGATAGGAATATTTTTACCTCTTCTTCGCTTGCATATTTGTTCTGTATAATGATTTATCAGAGTTGTTGACGATGCCAAAAGCTGGGCGGTGAAAAATTGGTGCTGTCATGCTCTGTGGAGTTGTAGGCAGAGGCGTAGCCGTGAAATATATATTGGGGGGGGGGGGTCCGCAACCCTAACCCCTAACCCTAACCCATTTTTTAAAACCCTAAAAATACAAACAAACACCATGGGGCCATGCTGTCTACCAAGACACCGCGTGCAAAAGCGTTATGGTTACGTTGCTGGCTGAGCGGGCGATAAATATTTGGTTTAGGCGGTTATGTTTTTGGGTACCTACATGCGATTCACTCTGATAAGTGGCAGAAAAAAATTAACAAAATATTACTGACAGGCTAACTAGACACAATTTTATGGAACACAGGTACTTTTTACTTCGCACATGTTTCCAGGATGATTACCTCTGTGTTTTATTTTAGCAGTATAAACCATATTGGGATATGTACAGGTTTTATACAGATGTTTTATACAGATATAATCTTAACTAATCCTAATAATTGTTGTAAATAAATAGGAAGTTGGGCCTACTATGTAAAAAAAAATTTTTTTGGGGGGTGGGGGTGGATGGGGTTCCCAGTATATTCAATGTGTGACGCCCATAGTTGTAAGCATACAATGTTCCGGTTTAATTTCTGTTATAGTTGGCAGTATGTTTAACAACGTCCGACATTCCATTTCCACTTGAGTGATAAGCAGTGGTTCTCTGGCTGATACCACGCGATACCAAATATTTCACCGTAATCTTTGGTGAAAGTTTCTACCCCCATTGAAAAACTAGTTCTAATCTCTCCAGGTGCTGTTCATAGGAGTCAGAAAAATAGTTACATCATCTAAGTAAATCATGGAAATGAAGATAACCAAGACACTCTGCCATAAGTCTTTGTTATGGTTAGGTTGCATTCGTCAACCCAGAAGGTATCCCATCAAAAGTCTATAGGACCCATGGAA